AGAAAAGAGGGCCAACGAAGTATTTGGCTGTGATTTTTGCCTTGCTGGAGACTTATAAATTGTGTTGTTATTGCCTGGATGTAATGTGTCCCGCACGAGTTAAACACGGATTTCCCAGAATGCACTGCGAGAAAGGTTAAAAACATGTTTAATATTGACCATTACAGTGAGACTGTTCTGTTGTTGTGTTTCAGTTTCTACGACAGAGGTGCTGATCTTTGAATAAGCGAGCAACAACGGTGAGTAGCAGGCTTTTTGCCAGGAAAGGTTATGTTACAAAGTCGTGAAAGTGTAGTTGAAGTCAAAGTCTGTGGTTTCGTATAGCGAAGGTTTATTTTTGGTCATGTGTCGAGCGACTCTGGAAATTTACTGTGTCCAAAAAGAGCCGCCGTCCTACTGCACAGGCTGAATTGTCGTTCATTTTCAATTTATTGTTGGCATTGCAAGCTAAATGCTGATCGGATCGCGGAAGAGTAACTATTTTTCCTCAAAGCATGTTAAAGTTCCCGCGCTATAGCACCGTCGCGACGACGAGCTCCGTTTATGCTTGATTGTCTGGAATGTTCGGTACAATGTTTTTAATCTGCTTTATGCACCGGTACGGGCGATTATAAAACCATTGCGGGATGAAACTGATCTAGGGAAAATGATGTAGAAGAGATATATTACTTTTGAAACATGTGTTGAGGAATTTTCTTTAAACAAGGTTTTCCTTTTGTCCCTTTCTTTCAGATGTGGCCGTTGGTTTTACTCGCCCCCTCGGAGCTGGAATATTTACTCTCTGAAATGTTTATATTATCTGTGCTCTGCTGTGGTCAAACACGAAGAAAGCGAAGCGAAACGTCTTGTAAGATAACGTTAATTTAAAACTATTTGCTTGACCAGTGTTTAGTCTTCGAAAATCGCCTGTATTGAAACTACATCTCTGTATTTCTCACCTCCTGACCCGTCTTTTGAAATTCAATCCTACGCTCAGTACGGCGATGTAATTGATATGTAACGCAACGTTATTTGGTATCCTGCCCAGAAGTCCCTCAAACGTTAACCCTCAACAAACCGTACTTCTTGTTTGTAACCTTTATCCTTATTTAACCCTAAGCCTTGGCTCAACTTTAGCTATCCACCCTAACCAGCTTAACGTAACACCCTTTTCCTGACAAGGCGAACGTTTAACTCAGTGGATCAACTCATGTGTTATGACCATTGAAATCAGTTGAGACTGCTCGTCTAACCCTAACCCTCCAACCTAACCCTAACCTATTCCTAACCCTAACCCCCAACCTCGACCTAATCTGATTTCTAACCCTAACCTATCCCTAGTCCTTACCCTAACCTAACCCTAACCCCAACCTTAACCTTAACCCTAAAACCCTAACCCTAACTCTTCCTCCCTCTCCCCCTGCTCTTACATTTAGTAGTATACAGTAAGGACTAAGTAATAGGTGCTTTTCGAAGTTAGCCTCAAAAAGGCTCTTATAAATTTTCTGTTTCTTGGAAATTAAGCTGTTTAGGTTCTCAAACATTCGAGGTTCTTATTTTCTTAAGGAAAAAAGACTTTTTGTAAGACTGTTGGTGGTTTTAAATGTTTGTACAAAATATGCATGTTGTTATGTCTAAATGACTGCAATTTAAGCCAATAGAAACTTTTTTTGCCATTAGAATGATTAGTGGACTTTAAGAACTCCATAGCGATCTGTTTTAACATTTCTACTTCATCTGGTTCTTTCAAAATCTTAGCCTGAAGAATTCTGGTTCTTATCTGTGCCTCTCCTCTGTGTCAGTAACCTGACATAATAATGAGTGACACGTGCGTGTTTCACTGTACAGTATTTTTCAGATGAAATAAAATACTGATTTGGATTGTTTTTGTTGTATTGGGGGCAATTAGACACTTAGTGAAAACTATACACTGTAATTTTCAGGGAGTTATAATAACTCCTCTAGTGGGGCTAATTTAACTCCTTACAGTGGAGTTATTTTTCGTGGAGTCATTTTAACTCCAAAAAGGAGTTTAAAGAACTCTTTTTCAGGAGTAAAAGTGACCACAGATTTTGAGGAGTTAAAATAACCCCAAAAAAGGAGTTATCCTGTACCTAAAATTTTTACTCCACTTTCAGAGTTAAATTAACTCCAAAAAGAGTGAAAACAACCCCTGTAAGGAGTACAAGTAACCCCATTTCGGAGTAATTTTAACTCCAAGACTGGGAGTAAAAAGAACTCTTTTTCAGGAGTAAAAATGACCTCAAATTCGGAGTTAAATTAGGAGTTAAAATAACCCCAAAAAAGGGGTTATCCTGTACCTAAAATTTTTACTCCATTTTTGGAGTTATAATAACTCCCTAAAAATTACGGTGTGGGTATCCGTTGTGGGTACACTTACGGGTGTTGCATGGAACGCACTTAGCAGTAGCGTAAGTTCCTGTTTTACGTGGTAACGTACGGGCTCAGTTAAGGGCACACGTAACTTTGATATAGTACTTTATTAATTTAACTCCCTCTTTCTTTGTTTAAGCTAACCATCGGTGAGTGTAAGGTAGTAGTGTCAAGTCGTTTCGAACACTTTTAAGCCTCTCAAAAAATAAAAGTTGCATGATAGTTCTTCTTTTTCTCAACGTCGACTTTAAAGTGTGCATCATAGGTTAACAAAGCGCATTAGAACGAATTACGTGAAGAACAATACTTTTTCCACTTCTCAGTGAAAGATGTCGTTAACTTTAGTAAAAACAGTAAGGATACGGGACCAACATAGGTCCCGTAAATTTACGTGCTATTTTCCCGTAAAAAGAGTATTATGCAACGCCCGCAATTTCTGTTTCATAAACGACACCTAAGTGAACACTTACGAAAATCGTAAGTGCGACCAATTAAGACCGCCGGTTCAAGACCGCCATCGATGGAGAAAACTTGTGGTCGACTGCTCTGCAGCAGCTGAGGGATGATGATGATGATATACCTATATAACATCCCCAACCTTCAAATTAGGCAACAAGATGCATCACTGTTTGCAAGCATTGTTTTTTTTATTCAAATTTGTAACGATAAACAAAAGAATATTTGTTTCAAGAACTAGTGCGCTTCTGAGTGGCCTTCAATATCGATAGGTGACGTCAGCGTGAGTATCGCTATTTTTAACGTCGTAGTGGTGTAGTTACAGCAAAGAAATGTACCAAAAAGTGTGATGCATGTACGTGCACGGAAGTCGTTTTTCTCATAAAACCTTTTTTACGCTCTAGTTGCCATCGTCGTCATAAATGCGTTAAGTCCCATATGAGCTTCCCAGTCCAAAATCCTGACTAAACTATTGGCTAGCTTGGTGGTATCAAAGCAATAGCGCTCAGTCAAGAGGATGAATTCCGCTCCCGGACCTAGTTATAAACACTTGATTGAACGGGAAACGCGGCATGTCCACACCAGCATCTAATTTGCACGATGATGATGGTAATGATGCCGGATGATTAACCATAATGATAGTGATAATGATTATGAATATGGGGCTGAGGAAAGGAAGCTTCAAGAAAGAAACGGAGGCGCTGAAGGCTAACATCGTCATGGTCAGCCTGTCATAGAGTTTTTCGATAAGAGGAAAGGTCACAGTTTCATATAATTTACATACCGGTCTGCGGGGAACCCCATATGGAAGGAAAAGAGAAGGAAAAATTGGAAAAATACGAGGAATTTAAAAGAGGGAAGTTTTATGTTACGGTACCAAACGTAGTAATGGGTTGAAGGTTTGAGCAGGATGACGAGAATTTTACAAAGGGGTATTCTTTCGTTTGCAGTTGACAATAATCGTTGTTGTTTTCCTTCATGATATAATGAGAGTCATGCACAAACAACAAGACAAGCAGGAAATTTTTTTTTCTAATTCATTTTATTTATTGGTCCATAACATTTTACTCCCTTTGACTTCTTTCTCCTCTTCCTCTCAGCCGCACATTTTACAGCTTTTCTTGCAGTTTGCCTCCATAAACCTTTGATATTTGCCTTTGCAATATCCACGTCGAGCCCAACCCGGACAATTGTTGCGTTTGTCCACGCAAGCTGGTAAACAGGATAAATTAATGAAAGTTAAATGGACTAACCAATCGACATTGTTGGTTTTAGGAATATTCATTTGTTGAATGTTGCTTGTTTGCACTCAAATTTTGCACATGATAAGCAACAAGCTACTACTTAAAAAGGCACGTTTGCGACAAACACAAATAATAATTTAACTAACATAAAAAAAGAAAGGAAGAAGGATATTTTCTTTTCAATGCAAAAAAATTACTCAAATCCATTAAGTCCATCATATACACGAAAAGTTTTCAGATACATCATGCTTGTTTACCCACAATTCGCTCTGCTTACAGAATGTCTGCACTGATCCAAAGTATATTTTGTATAAATATTCTGTGCAACTCTAGAATACTCCAATCATGACGGTATAAATGCGGAAATGAATGCGTTTATAAAGCTAAATCATAATAACTTACCGCCGCCACCGCCGCCACCGGCGCCACCACCTAATGAGACGAATAGAAAATAAGCCCTTCATGTCTTTTTTACTTAAACAATATATTCCTCCTAATTCACCTAATCTTTACCGGATGAAGTCATCTATAAAGAAAGATGAAATCATACAAATTAACGTTATCAGCAAAACATTTCAGACGTATCTCGCTTAAAGGTGAAAGTACATCACTTATCTTCCGGGAGTTTGAGGCAGTCGTTTGATGCTGACATACGGATAGGTTAACAAGTGGTCAAGAGCTTATGTTATGTTTATGGTTCTGGTATCTTAATTGATGATAGAGAGAGTAAGAATCAGTTTAAGGTAATTTCTCAAATTAGGTATGAGCAGATTAAAACAGTCTAAGAGAATTCACATGGATGGAACCGTCAAAACAATTGTTATTCTGTAGACTTGAACCGCAAACAACCAGTAAACGGAAAGCCTGTTCACGTGATACAAACTGGCATTTGCTGTTTCCCTTAAAAGTGATTCTCAAACTCTCGTTTTACTCACCTTGTATGAAGCCGTTGATCCAGTTCACGTATGAGCTTACGCGAGCATACACGGAATAAGTGTGTCCAGGACATGATCGGCTGGTCACCCAGGAAGCTGCACCGCGAACCACCCACTTGCCACCTTCCATACACGACAAGGGCCCTCCACTGTCACCGTTACACACACTACTACCCCGTCCCCCTACACAAACCATGGAACTTTCGTCCACTGTTCCTCCGTTTCTCTGCCGGCACTGACTGTGACTGGCCACTGGAGCCGCAGCTTGTTTAAGGTAGGGAGAGAGGGCGTTGTTGTTTGGATTGATTCTTCCCCATCCTAAAAGCATGCGCCAAAGAAAAAGGCATTAGTTAATGATTTAACAACCATAACAGATAGTAATGGAGGACAGCTTCCGTTGTTCTTGTTATCCTCTGAGGTTACCTCACAACCGCCGCCTAGTAGATTTGTTATCGAGGAAGTCGAAAAAAATACATTTGCAAAAAATAAAAGAGGACAGTAAAAAAAGGGCTCAGTAAATACACGAAAACACGAGTTTATGTTTACCCTATCTTTTGTTTAAGGTTCAGTTTAAAATAAGAAATGATGCATTTTAAAAAATGCTATAGTTGATACTAAGGCAAAACGTTTATCGTGAATGTTTCTTGAAAAGCATTACATGAGATTTGTAGTGTAAACCATGAACGGAAATATTAGTTTTTTAAGTTGTACTACGATAACGTGCATAACCATGTAACTAAAAATGCGTCAGTCTCACGCTATATAATTTACCTGTAACGTAGCATGTTGTTCCTGGTTTAACACGTGACCCATGCCTAGGCAGACAGACGGTTCCAACTTTATTGTTTAGATTTGCTGGTCGCGCCAGTCTTAACACAGCTACATCGTGACGCAGATGTTGCATACTGAACTGAGGATGTTTGATTACACGGCTCACCTTGTACACCTCACCGTCATTTGTTCTTCCATGAGCACCTGTGTCAAATATTAAACTGAGATTCAGTATAGGAGGGGACGCGCCATTTAACTCATAACGGGTATCGATACGCTACTATCATGTATCCTCTGTGTCATATGAATGTGATATTTAATGTGATCAAGTCTTTTTTTTAAAAATGAGGATCTTCTTTCAATATTGCCCTGTACCAAAATAACGAGTAGAGAGGGGCAAGGGCTTTGGATGAACGTCTGTATGTCAATTAAGCAACAGAAAACGTTTTCCATGTTTGCATAGCCTGATATAAACACGAGGGGGGTTGGGAGAATTCGAGACAGTTATGCAAACTCGAGACGAAGTCGAGGGTTTGAACAACTGTCGAGAAATACCAGTCGAGAAATTACCAGTCGCAAAAGTCTTGTACACGAAGTCCTGCACGCGTAATCAGTTCTTGTTTTGCAAAAAGATGCTTTCCAAATTACAGATTTTTCTCGCTTAAAATGTCAGCTTAAGCGAAAAAAAGTTGACAGAGCTTGATTGTAAAGATTTTCCAAGTGTCGGCCGACGAAGGAATGGGTAAATATAGTAAACTTGTCGAGTTTTGATCACTAAAACTTTTTTTCAAATTCGCGCTTGCGTGATTAGCGCGCGAAAAGCAAAACATCCACGTCACAACCATGTTTACATACTCTCATGCAAACACTCCTATCAGCCAATCAGAGCGCGCGTACTATCTTAGTTATTTTAAAAAGAGTTGTAATGAAGCCATATGAATTTCATCCACGCCCGCATGAATCTATTAAAATGCATTAGAAAGAAAAAAATTATTTCAAACTCATTGACTTACCCAAAGCAAGTGAGTACCGATTGGGGTCACTGCTCCGATCAACACAATGTGCGGCAGTTAAAGCCCAGTGCTGATTCAGCAGGGAGGCGCCGCATATGTGGCTTCCATATACTCGAAGGGATAACTGCCACGGCCAGGAATTAGGACGTGCCTGTTCGCCCCCTACAATGCGGGATCCAAAAGGTTTCCTGCCACACCCTGTTAAACAAGAATACAAATCGTATATTTTTCAAGTGATAAATCATTGAAAGATCAAACTATGGAAAGGTATTTACACACAATCGCTTGCAGGATTTTTTTCATGTGACAGTCTGAAGCGGTGGTAGAAAATAAAGTGCGCCCACACATTCTTATAGAATCCAAAATCCGATTCAAGTATCCGGCATCATTTTATTGCGTTTATGTTGAAGCTCATTAAGAACAAAACAACTCCTTTGAGATTTATCTAAAATAATTTTAAAGATCTTAATTAATTTTAATTTTTGATTTTCATCACTATGTTTTAGCACTGGTTTGTTAAAAAGCGAAGATAATTAGAGAAAATGATTATAAAAAAAGGGAAAAGCTGAAGTGAAAAATACACCCAGAAAGATATTAATTTTTTATTTTCTATTGTTTAGCCTTGGTTTCTTTCTACCTTAGAAAAAGATAATAATAATCTCAATGGAAGAAAGAGAAAATATTGAAGTGAAAGCTTTACCTTGGATAAGCGAAGGTATCGCAAAACACACCATCAAAGCGAGAAGAACTTCCATCTTGGTTGATGATGATTTTCATGAATGCACGCAAAAGGCACTGTTTTTATCTAGTCGTAAGTAATCTAACTGTATTTGAGCTATCCATTTTGTGTAAATTCAAAAGCACCTGTATCCATATCAATTGTTTGATTTGGCGCAGTTTTCGATAAGATCTCTAAAGAGGAATTTAGACAATTGAAGTGATTGTGACCAAACTGAGTGAAAAAATGGTATGTTTGCACTTGCAGTTGAAACACCTGAGGGTTTGCCTTTTGGCTAAAATGCACTTGTTTATACAATTTAAAAGTATCCCCGCGATCGCAGAATTACTGTTTATCATTGATTCATTTAAAAAATGGGTCAAAAAGCCTAAAATGCTCAATTTTTTTTTCAGATGTAGGAACAGTTTAAATAGCTGGAGATTCAAATGCAAACTAAACTTAATAGTTTTTCAAATGAGACTGCCTTGTATCATTGCCCGTTTTTATTTCACAAACTTTTAATATACAAGCAGTAAAAGCCCGCGCACCTTTCCAAAATAACTTCTTAGATCTTTAAGAGTTCTTACATAATGTTATCTGAAATTTGGCTATTTAGGTTCTTAAGCAGGTTCTTGTTTTCAGGTTTTTGTTGTGGGAAGAATATATATTTGTAATGTCAAATTGGTGAAGAATATTTATACAATCATATGTATAAAACTGCAATCTCTAACAAATACAAACCCCACCTATAAGGTCTTGTGAAAGGCAAGGCATAATGCAACACGGTTCTGGGGAACTCGCCAGTACGGCCGGGCTGCCAGAAGGACGTTTCTAATTCTTAAACTCTCTTAAATGCAGGTGCCAAAGGTATAAAGGTTTCAGCAGTGAAACCTCTGGTGTTCGACTAGAAAAATGTCTCTCCAGGTAAATGAACCTGAAAATAAATGCTAATTAACCCTCCCCGGTGTCATGTATTTGCTTCAAGCACCGAAGCGAAGGTTAGGTTTGCGGCTTTTATTATTTCGAGAAACCTTCCTATTTTCCTATAAATAATAATGATCGACGCTTTGCTTTATGACTGATTAATCATCTTGAGGTGAGAATTCCACTCAACTACTTATACTAAAAAGAATTACATGTAACAAGAAAATCTCACGTAGTTCAATCCAAATTGATTCATGAAGAGAATATGGAGCGGAGCCAGTTACTGACGGCTGCCAAACAAATCGATTCGTAAATAGTAAAACCCTATCGAGTGTATCTTTTTAGGCGACACTTTTACGCACTGGAGTTTCAGGCCGACTTGGTATGCAGCTACACCATCACCGTGACAAAAAACTGATGCTCTGTGAGATCATAGTGTGGGAAAATGTATCGCAGTTTGCTGGCAGCAACGCAGCAACAGCGTCCAGTAGCGTGAGCTCCATCTTGCTTCATTTAAATTTATCTGGTTGATTTACTTTGTAGTTTTTAAGCATGCGTGCTGGGAGCGGTTCTTGTGCGGCATTTCTGTTCTCTCTCAGTCTATTCTGTTTTTGTTATAACGTTTAAAAGAGTGTCTGAACTCGTTAAAGGTAGTTCTTCGACAAAAACTGAACAGTAATTGACATTCATGAACGCATTATGTTTTTTAAGGCTATTCTAGCCTTCAAGCAAGGTACGCAGGCTAAATCTACTCCTTAGTCCGAGTGTCCCGTGTTGGGACTTTTTGAGGTTCAACTTTGCCTTCGAAATTGGAACATTTGGTCAAGGCTTTAGAATGGGTTTCACTAGTGTACTCAAAACTCGGGATAATTTTCTTGACACTACCTCGTTGTAAGAGACCGGGGAGGGCCTGTTAATTTATGAGGGAAGAGCCGAACCTGATGAATGGAATAATTGCTAATTGATACAGATATTGCAAGAGCAATAACTATAAAAATCACATGGGATTTATCTGTCAAGTATCGCCCAGGTGCCCTGAGCGAAATATCCCGGATAAATCTCTTACATTTATAACGAGGAATTAAAACAAATCTTTCGAGCTCCCTCCTTACATACTGAATATAGAAATTATCCCACCAGGCCCAACTATTAAAATTCTGTAATATCCCTTAGATTAAGGGCGTTACGATTAACCTTTTCCGTTTACATCAAGTTGGTCTTTATTTCTATTGGGTTAAGTCAAATCAACTGATGGAAATTGTGAATAACGAATTGAAGAAAGTATCAAGCTGGTTTCAGGCTAATTATAAGCTTTCTATTAACATAAAAGAATCAAATCAATTTATTCTATTTACAAGAGGAGTTATTGGAGCTTAGGAGAGTGCGTTCGATATGTTTGCTAGGCGTACAGGTAGCAGTTGAGGGGAAAGGGTGGATGGTTCTTGTGATAGATAACTATGATTAAGGGCGTTACGATTAACCTTTTCCGTTTACATCAAGTTGGTTTTTATTTCTATTGGGTTAAGTCAAATCAACTGATGGAAATTGTGAATAACGAATTGAAGAAAGTATCAAGCTGGTTTCAGGCTAATTATAAGCTTTCTATTAACATAAAAGAATCAAATCAATTTATTCTATTTACAAGAGGAGTTATTGGAGCTTAGGAGAGTGCGTTCGATATGTTTGCTAGGCGTACAGGTAGCAGTTGAGGGGAAAGGGTGGATGGTTCTTGTGATAGATAACTATGATTATGTCATGTTTTGAACGTAAGGGTTGCGTAATGAAAAGGTTTTGAAGGCTAGTGATCAGCGTGATATCGTATGGTTCGTCTCAAGTGCTTCAAAGTGCACGTGTTATTGGAGGAGACACTGGCCAGAGTGCTTCGGGCGTTTTTTTTGTAAAAAGAACTTTTTGTTTGATTTCTCCTTCCTCCAAGTTGAAAATGTTCACTGGAAGTGTATGTGTGCTGCTCACTGGTGTATCATTAAAATTAATAAAAATAAAAATAAAATTAATTTACGCAACCACGAGTTCGTGCGAAAAAAAAAAAACAAAATGACGGGTGAAAGGTAAGTGACGCCGACTGATTTTACCTTTCTTGATGATCCGAGTTGATTTTTTATGATCCGAGTTGATCCGACGCGGACTGGCGGTCCGAGTTGATCCGGTCCGACTTTTGTGCCGAAAATATCATATGTCATGATGAAATGGTGCCGCCGAGCTTCACATCTCGGTAGATTTAGAATAACGGTCGCCGCCGAGCTTCACATCTCGGTAGATTTACTTTGTGGAATAACGGCCGCCTAGCTACACAACTCAGTAGATTTACTTTGTGGCACAACAGACGCAAAGCTAAACAACCCGGTTTGATGCATGCACCAGGAGTAGCACGCATTTTCCAAAGAAAAATATGAAGGTTTCATCCAAAGTAAAATTTTACTCAGGGTGTAAACTTTCAGCACACTTTTGAAAGATGAACGCTTTGGAAGATTCATTAAACACAGATCGATAGCAGACCTTCAGCAAACTCTTAATTATGTACGCTTTACGAAAATTCAGCGCATTGAAGATGAACGATTTACGAAGACAGAATAGCAGACCTCAGCAAACGTTTGAAAGATGAACGCCGAGGACACATGAATCACCAAGTGAGTTAGCGCGTCAAGGTGAGGCAAAACGTAAGCAGCACCTCAAAGCGAGGCAAATGTGTGTCGACCCCGACGACGAAGACGAATGCAATCGTCAAAAAAACGTCCCTTGATGTATATTGCAATGGACACCCATCTTTTCTCATTTTGGTTCTCGTTTTTGCATACAGTCGTTCAGCCTTTTCTATTATTATCCTTTTAATGATTATTTTCTCTCCAAACAAATTGTGCGTACTGTGAGTTAAATTTTGTCAGTATTGTAATTATTAATTAGATGACATTTTTAAAAGGTGGTCCTAACACAAGCCTTCTCGTTTATTCTTGCATTATTTAAATTTTGTATGTATACTTTGTATGGAAAAATGACAATAAAACAATAAAACGATAAAACAGTTTAAACCAATCAGGTCGAGCGTCAATCTTCAACTCTAATCACATGGACTGGTATTTTAAGAAATGTTAGCGCTCAGTGGATACCTCACTCTTTCGTGTATTTGGTCTTATTTTGTGTTGAACTTTCATTTATTCGCTAAATTAGAAAGAACAAATAATAAAATCTTATAAACTTCCTCCACGAAACGTCACATCAGGCAATAGGAGACATCACTGTTTACAAACATTGTTTTTGGTATTCAAATTTGTAACGAGTAAAACAATGGAATCTTTTGTTTCAAGAACCGATGCGCTTCTAGTTGGCACATTAATATGAATAGGTGACGTCAGCGTGAGTATCGCTCGTTGTGGTGCATTTTCGGCAAAGAAATGTACCAAACAGTGTGATGCACATGCAAAGTAGTTGTTTTTCTCATAAAACCTTTTTTAACGTTCTCGATGCCGTTGTCGTCATAGATGCTTTTAAAGTCCCAAATGAGCCAGTTTCTAGTTTCAAATTCTGGACTAATTTAAGCCAGTGACTAGCTCGATGCTTTCAAAGCAATAGTGCTCGGTCCAGAGGCTTTTCCCCCGCGCACTTCATATAAAGAATTGATTGAACTGAATATATTAAAAACCTGTTTCATACTTTTACAACCGCGGCGGCGTTGCTGTCATCTAGGCGAATTTTTTTTACTTCGAAACCATCTTTTCTAATTGAAACGTTTCCAGGCTTCTTTTTGTCAAACAGAAGTCGATGTTAACCATGCTGTAAAAAACAACAGTAAAATCTTTACAAACGTGAAATAAAATTTAAAAAAATCACTTTACAATCTCCGTTTTTACCCTATTGCTACGAAATTACAAGTTATATACAATGTATAAATATAAAGAATACCTTCATCCATGGATTTGAATTTCCTCCGTGATGTGACGAACAATATTTATCTTTGTTTTTTGGACTGCAACTTTAGAATACTTTCATGAGTACTTCTTGTGACCGAGAAGAGGTTCGTTCTCTTGCTCTCGAAACGCTTCTTTCCACGTTAGCGTGTTGCCAGCAATCCTCGCAGCATTTGTTCGGCTATTTAAG